TAAGGATGTGGTTATTTATATCAGAGCGATGAAATATCAGCCTGTGGTCCACACACAGACACTCGTGCTTTCTGTCCCGTTTCTACTCATAGGTGTATTTTGTTGTTTCTTTCTTTTTTCTTTGTTTTCACCTTGCATTGCATTGATGGAAGATTTCAGGCTGTATTGATTTGTTTATGAATTCACAGCGTTGCCTTTACACTGTTTGTTTTGCACAACAGTTTTCTGGCCCTCTGCACCTCCCTACCCTCGTGTTTTGAGCGTAGTTAATGTGGCCAAACAGAAACAAAACACATGACAAAAACAAAGGATTGGACTGATAGCTTTATTTTTTTTAACCCTTCAATGAAATAAAGGCGATGATGGTGATTAAGTTTGAAACTTCACTGTTATATCTAAAGTCACTTCCTTCTGGGTTTTAGGGGATGATATTGTAGTTGTTGTTAGCCTTTGATTCATTTAATTTCTGTGAGGAATCAGAAAATTTTCTCAAATATAGACTTAAAAAATGTGTTTCAAATGTTTTTGGTGATGCTGATGTTTTGGATTAAAATGCAAAATGAAACTGCTGATTGTTGGGATATTTAAATTGCTATGCTGGCTATCATTCACTATACTAAGTTCATGCTTAGCAACACTTTGTGATATAAAATATACTACTGCAGTGTGTGTAACCTCTAAACATTAACACTTGTGTGTCAGTCTTCAATTAAAAACTGTTTCAAATTAAATGTGTGTTGAGTTCTTTTCAAAACGTTTGCAAACAGTATGGGGAACTTTATTCAGCAGGGAGCAGATGAGTTCAGAAGTGGTGAAAATAATACTTTAACTTGTTAATTTACAGAAAATCAACAAGTGCTTACAGATACACAAACAAAAAGCAAGAACATAAGAGGGAGAATGAGAATGATGGGGACAGATGTAGCAGTGTAGATGCAAGGAGTAGAGGTAGTGATGGGAGATGAGATTAAATACCTGACATCAACGGTCTGCACAAGAGCAGTGAAGAGAGTCTGGGCTGGAGATAAGAATCAGGGGTAATTTGTGACAGAAAGGTAAGAGACAGAGAAGGTTCAGAATAAGGTAGTGAGACCTGTGTTGCTCTGACCAAAAGCACAGGAGGCAGAGCTGAAGATGGCAACATTTGAGAGCAACCGGAATGGACAAGATTAGAAATTCATTTTTGAGAAGAACAGCTTGGGCTGAGCAGTTTGGACAAGTGCAGAGGGGGGATCCTGGATGTATTGGACTGAGAAGGTTGAATATGAAGCTGTCAGGTAGGAGGAAAAGAAGAAGAGCACATAGACGAATAATGGATGTACAATGAAGGCAAACGGCTGGTGAGACAGCAATGGGGGAAGATGCAAATAGATGATCCGCTGCTGAACCTCTAAAGGCATTCACTTTATCCACAAATAAATGACATAAATAATGAATAAAATATTTCATAAACAATCCTCCGTTTATGGCTTACACAAGATCCAAGTGTAAACCTTGATTGTCTCCGCTGGGTGGCAGTAGTGGGATGGGTTATTCGCTGCACTGTCTTTGTGTTGGTCACCGTTGGCTATTGCTCGCCTACCAAAAAGCACCAAAACACTGGCTTCTCACCACAACATGGTCCGCAGGTGTAGCGTCGATGCTTTTAAAACGTGTCGCTGATAGCTGCAAGCAGTTCCCCGAGGTGTACCATCATTTTGTTATTACATAATGAAGAATTACTCTCAAGAATGACTGATTCTGTTAGGGTCTGCAGCAACCAACGATTGCGCATCTGGATTTGGCCGAGCCGCTACCACTAGCTAGCGGACAGGCTAGCAGAGCAGAATGCTGTAGCGCTCTGCAGTGAATCCAATTTAGTATCGACTGGATAATTTAGCCAGCGGTCAGTTTGCAGCCCTCACTAGTTAGCTCGTGCAGTAACTGACGTTTAAAGGCCTGCCGAAAATGTAAACCACCATGCGAACAAAGAGACGGGAAATGGTAAGTGTTATTTATACCAACTGATGAGCTCAGATTAACTGTATTCCGTTTGCTACCTTAGCTTAGCTACCCTTTCGTTAGCTTTGTTGTGATAGCCTGCAGAGACCCTTGCTGCTAATTGTCGTAGGTTCATCCTTTGGCTAGTTTGTTGTAAGAAACACAGATAATAAAAGGTAAACTGTGTTGTGTGCTATTCTAATGTAACATTGCAGATGTGGATTATCGTCGTTTCACCTTGATGTTTGTGTGGTATGATTTCTGGAGTCGTAATGTTTCCGAGCTACTTCCCTGTGCAC